ATCATGCCCAGTACTGAAAACCTAACTACACAGGCCTAGTGATGTCGTGGATCTTAGAGCAGGACCTACAACCACTACCACCTTACAAAAGCAGCCTGATTTCTAACTGCATTCCAAATATTTATCTATGTACCTACAGATAAATGTAGCTCCCAACCCCCATCAAAGAAGCGTCTCTTTGAATTAGTCAGAAACTGTTAGAGAAAACCACAGTTGCTCAAAATGCAGAGAGCAACTCATTGTGTGGTATCCAGCTCTAGCAGATATTCCTGCAACACAACTGCTGCACCTAAAGCTCAGGGAAGATCGAGGGAGAGGGGGTGGGAAGACTGTAAGAGCCAGGGGACCAGGAAATCTGATGAGAGGTTGTGTCTTTTAGAAATGACAGGGAAGCTTTACCTCAACAATATGGCCACCTAAAGATCTTACTGGGGACAACCCCAATAGACATGCTAATGTGAGAGGGAGAGAGAGTCACAGGCAACTAAGATGAGGTAAGAGAGAGAGAATAGTCTTTCCTCAGGAAAAAGCCCCTAATTGGCTATCTGATGTCATGTGGTCAGCCCTGAACTCACATACATGCTATATGGAATGGACTCAGTAGGTAGTAGCTATAGTTATATGCATATTATTATATTTATATACGTATATCATGTATAAAACACAATTATGGATGAGAAGACCAGGAATTTGGGAGGGAAGGGAACATGAGGGAAATTGGAGGGAGGAAAAGAAATGTACAGAAACAATATAATTCTATTTTAATATAAATGTTAATAAAAGTATGCTATCAGTCAAAAAAAAAATCAAATGAAATAAATTTAAATTATTTTAATTTATTCCAATATGTTCTTTGCATTTGAAGTAAATGTCAATGGAGACTGATTTCTCTTCCAGGTTATTCACATTGTTCTCTGCTGCTGTAATCCACCAGGTGGAGCAAACTTACTGCCAGGCCGTCCTGAGGAGGGGGCTAAGAAGGAGAAAGGCCCCTTTGTTGGACTGGCCAGTCCTGTGCACAGCGCTTATTGCTTCAAGATGCATTTGGCCTGTGAGACAGTGACTCATCACCCAGCTGCCATTATTTCCTCTGAGATAATTAATTTTAGCCAGGTTCCTGGAACTGTTCCAACTTTCCTCTGTGCCTCATTTCTTCCCTTCAGGTCCTTGCATGCCACAGCAATGTAATTCAAAGCTTTGTTTGGGCTGCAATCCAATGGACCCAACCCAAACAGGAAATGGGATTTCTCATTGTTTATCTGAGACCATGATCCAGAAAATGTCGGACACTTGTTTTTAGTGCTTCGTTGAGCTGGAAATGAAGTGCAACTGTTTCCAAAGTTTTCTTGATGTGGAATGATTTAGATGCTTCAACCATTAGGTCAAGATGGAGAGCCCCTGAGATGGCTCAGTGGGTGAACTCTTGTTTACAATCCTGAAGCTTTGAGAGGGGTCTATATGGTGGAATGAGAAAACAGACTCCCCACACATTGTCCTCTGATCCTCATATGCACTGTGGTTCTCTCTCTCTCTCTCTCTCTCTCTCTCTCTCTCTCTCTCTCTCTCTCTCACACACACACATAAGTAAATGAATGCTATTTCTTAAAGCTAACTATTTAGACATTAGTCCCAAGCTTTCCTTATCTGATCATTCTGTCTCATCCTTGGCTTACACTTTGTTAGTAAGAGAGCACATAATATTTTTATGAGGCTGTAGCATCCCAACATACTCTGGGAACATTCCAGCCAGCATTCCATAATCAATCCTTTTGTAAATAGGTTTGTTGGAGGCCTCTTCCTCAGATTCCTCTATAAGCTCTGAAATCAACTCTCTCGTCTGTCACCACACCGCCATGCCCCGCATGGGACACAGGTAAAGTGAATGTTCGTCATGGCCGTATAGTTACCATGTGATGTATGGTGGTACTTTATGCCATCTAACAGACATGTGGTCTGTCTGTCAAATAGTTTTCTGCCTTGCTTTTTCTCAGCATGATAGAGTTCATCCATTGCATTGAAAGCTGACAATACCACACCCAGACTTTCCCAAACTCTTGTAGCCAGGAATGGGCAAAAGAGATTCTAAATACACATAACCTAAAGCGTTTTGGGAAGGGGGTGTATGAATCTCATTCTTTTGTTAACAACCTACTCATGTGGAAACTCACCCACTCCAAGACATTAATTCCTTTGTGAAGAGAGAATCCTCATGACTACTCTCTTAAAGGCTCCACCTCCCAACCCTGTTGTGTTGGGGATTAACCTCCTAATACAGTTTGGAGAAGACACTTAAGCCACAGAAGTGGGATACATGCAAATTGATACCTGTAGCTGATAAAGGTTTATAGTATTTGGGGCTTCAAAATGTCTCATCTTTTTCTCTCAGATGCAAGGAACATTGCATAACAATATCACATTAGGAAAATGTTCCGATAGAGATCTTGTTGCAACAGAGGGCATTTTGATGGAAGTCTCCCATAGTGGCTCTTTTAACCCTTTGTGTGGTGTTCTGTCATCACTGAAACTTGTTGAGGTGCATTTCCAGTCTCACTGTGTTTTAGACGTGATAGCCATAGCAAAAGGAGGAGAGAGAGTGGCACTCCCAGAAACAGAGGCAAGCCTGACTTGAGCATCTCCCCATGATACACATTCTGAGAAGTAGTTTTCTCAGAGAGCTGACCCTAGGGTTGCCACTGATGGGAGTATCCTGGACCAATGGCTTTTAGGACACTGACCTCATAGGGTTAGTTAGGAGCATGTCCCAAACATATGTAGCTGCCCTCATCAAATTATTTTCATCCCAGAGGCAGGAGAACAATGACTAGTTGAGAAGATGGATAGACTTGCCCATCTGTAACTGAGCAGTTTCATCACTTACCCATCTGATTCTGTTACTTGAGATTTTAGAGTCAAGGCCTATGCTCTGACTGTCTCGGTATGCTAAGCTTGCCACCCAAAGAGACAAGGAAGAGTACAAGGCATGGCAAGGAGATATAGTTAAAGTGGCCACACGGAGAAGAGGAAGAAAGAGCCCATCTAACTTCAGGTACTGACCTGAATAAAGGTTTAAATAAAGGTAAAAAGTACGCATAGCTAAGAAATCCTGGACCAGATATAGCTCTTTGCATCATTGTCTGGGCACCAGTCTGTCCTACATGGTGGGTCAATAAGTTGTGAGAACTGAAATTTCTTCTGAGGAACAAGCTCCTCCTCTGTCTGACACCAGGTTTCACCTTTGCCCTTTCCCAGCATCAGGTAGTGAAAGGGAAATCTCAATCCTTCGGAGCCATAGCTAGCTAGCCAAAAGGAGGCCACAAATGTCTCTCTCTTTAGAATATTTTCTTCTTGTTGTCAAGCCAGTTATAATTCTAACTCGGAAAGATAAGTGACACACACTTACACATGTGAGTGTTCATATCTATATACTCACATTATTAAGTATAAAGACACATGAGACTGGACTGAGCTGCTAATATAATTTATTCATGTGTTTACACAGGAATCTGTTATGCAGACAATAGGGGGAAAAGTACAAATGACCCCTAAGAGTTTTCGCTTAACTTTATAATACTTAGTACAAAAATACCTTGAAGATACTAATATTATATAAATAAAACAATATAGAAGGTTTCAGCTTGTTCTGTCTCAGCAGATCTGAGACAGCGTTGCCCTAGGTGAGTTGGAGCTTTGGTGCTGGGACAGGCGCAGTTGCTTTGTAGATGCTTCAGTGGGACCCAGCTTCTTCACCTCTGAGGGGGTCTTTGCATACACACTACTTCTTGCTGTCCCCAAGGTTTATTTTGCAAACTCCAAACAGGTGAATTTCAGTTCAAACACTGGAAATCCAGATTTTTTATAGGACAACTCAGGAATCCATGACAGTTGCAAATCCATGACTTTGAAGGGCTTTGATCACAAGATTTTAAATCGTCACAGATCTTGTTTTGTTTCCTGAGAAGAGAGAACATGGCTTCCAAAGGCGTCTGCTCTACAGTCGACTTCAGCCATCCGGCAAGCTGTGAACTGTCTTCTCAGCACTATTTTCTGCTTTCAGTTTTCCAGACAGGGTTTCTCTGTGTAACCCTGGCTATCCTGGAACTCACTCTGTAGACCAGGCTGGCCTCGAACTCAGAGATCCTCCCGCTTCCTGCTACTACTGCCTGGTTAACACTGACTATTGAAAGAGGGGGGAATTGTTTGTTTTTGTTGGGTTGGGTTTTGGAGATAGGTTCATTCAGTGTAGCCCACACTGGCTGCTCCTAAGCTTGTGGCCTTCCTACCTCACTCTCCCTAGTGCTAGGGTTTCGGGCACAAGCAACATACTTGACAGGAGAAAGGAAATCTTTAGGATTTGAAATTCTCACTTTTCCAATCCCCCAATAATAACTTTCACTGGATGGGTAGCAGGCCATGAGTGAAGCTTTGTGCTGTCCTCTTCAGCAAGTTTGGTCATAGAAGTTTTACAGAAACCACAACTTTTAAATTAAAAATTTATAAAAGAAACCTGGAGAATTCTCTATCTGTATTTCTGTAAGGTGGTTCCAATACCATTAGTTTGCTAACCAGATCATTAGTGTCCAGAAAATAATGCCTTAAAAAAAGAGATTAAAGAAACAAAAAAAAAAAAAGAAGAAAGAAATTAAAGAACTCTCAAAAAGATCATGAGAGTGCAGCTTAGCCACTGGTGTTTAGATGATATCCTCAGATTCATTAAACTGTGGCTTCAAAAAGCTATTGAGGTTGATGAAGTTGCCAAATATTTAGAGCACTTAAAAATCCAACACATAGCTCTGGTGCTTAGGGAATGGAAACAGGGGGATGCTGAGTTCTAGTCTAGCCTGGGCTACATAGCAAGGCCCTATGCCAAACACTCCCTCAAAATTAATGTACATATATATATATATATATATATATATATATATATATATATATATGTATGCGCAAGTATATAAAGTAAAAGCAAGTATGATAAGTATTTTATGCATTTATACATTTTATTTAATGTCTAATAACTGGCTAGCTGCAAACATATATCAGTGGGGAAATATTATTTTCATAAAGAAAAAATAAACTTGACCAGAGTTTGCAAATTCTGAGTGTGGCAATGCAAAACTATTTTGACCATCAAAGTCCTTCCCACAGCTCAGTCAGCTTAGAAAAAAAAAAGCTAACCATTTTCATTAAGAGGACATCACCACTCTGCTGGTGAGCTGGGGACCAGCGCTTTGCTCAACGTGACCCACTGCAATGTTGGACACTGTTGCTATGAGTAACTTGCACTGATTCCAAAAGCAAACAGCCTACCTGAGAACTCTGGGCTGCTTTGTTTCTGTGCCTGTGAATTCTGCAAGGCTTACATGGTTTACAGAGTTTGATTTTTTTAATACTGACATCAAAGATAGCTTTAAATAACAATAATTTTTGCTGCTTCCATTTCTTCTTTCTGTTGAAACATTTTGACTTTACAAATACATTGCAGTCTGAGTGATACTCCCGCTGACCCCCAACACACAGCGGGGTTTAAATTCCATTCCAGAGAACATCACCTGGACAGGACTCTGATATGATTGATTATATACAGTCAAAAAGAAAAACATGAAGCAAGCAAGAGAGCGGGTTGCTGAGAGTATGGAAGTTGTTCTCAATGAAGAAAAGCAATTGCAGAGAACCTGGAAAGCCAACTAGAGCTGCACTTAGAACTGACTCATGATCACAGCTGTTGGGTGGCGTTGCTCTTACAGGGGGCTTTCAACCATCCTTTTCTTGTTTTGTAGGTAGAAGATGCGGTTCTCCTCAGAGTAGGTAACTTTGCTCAGGGGCATCCTGTAGATGTTGGGATTTTTCGTGGTCAGCAAGAGAAAGAGTAGTGTGGCCAAACAGAAGGACCAGGTACAAGCTGGCAGGTGAACCTGGGGAAGAAGAGACAGACCACACAGTTGTTTTTTTTGTTTTTGTTTTTGTTTTTTTTTGAGACTCCATCTTAAAGTGAGTCTACACAGTGGACCACCTGAACTTTGACTCCAAGGGTGGGGACCTTGCTCTGAGTTCTGCTTAGATTCACCGAATCGTATCTAAGATCTCAGGGCATCTACCATTTGAGATGTTTTCACTTGTCTTTTACAGTGGTCAGCTTTGTCTCTTTCGGATGTCTGTCCAGTTTTCTCACGTTTTCATACTTCCTGCACATAAGGTGCTAGGATGATGCTAGACACACAGGGTGGCAGCAAATTGCTAATTCCCTCTGGCCTCTCAGCACACCCACAAAGGCCTTCTCTGATTGGTCAGTCATAGTGCCTTCCTGACCTTGACTTCTCTGTGACCTTAGACTCTACTTGGTTTTATTTCTTGTTATTTTCTCTCCTCAGTAGACTTTTAAATTTTGAGATAGGTACCATGTCAATTCACACGTTTCTGAGTATATCACATTGGTTAGCTTTAGCCTTTTGTATGGATCTCAGAAGTGTGATGGGGTACTGAAATCTGACTGAACATCATAACTATCTGGGGAAGTCTGAAAAATAAGCCATCCTTACACGAGATCTACTTTATCTTCAAATCAAGAGGGACAAGGCCTCAGGGTCTGAAGCTTTCTGGATCTCCCTAGCTAACTCAGATAGAATCAGTTTAGTTTTGGTCCTCAGACTGATGATGCCTTTGTATTTTCTTAGTTAGGTTGTGAAGGACTCTGTAAAGCTCTCATAACAAGCCTGGTGGTTGTAGTTTCAACAGAGGATAGTGTTGAAAGGAAGAAGCCAGGCTTAGTAGCAGGCTACCTATAGTCCATTTTAAGGCAAGCCTCAGCTACACAGCGAGTTTAAGGCCAGCTTGGGCTAAGGTGAAAGTATGGCAGGAGAGAGCAAAGATTTGCCTAGAAGTAATACAAATAGGACCTAGGTTTGAAAAGTCTTATTGATGTGTAGGTGAGAGTGCAAAGAAGACTAGAGATATAAAAAAAATTGACTGGATTTTAAACAATAGCTATTTCTTTAGTCAATTACCCTTGTCTGTTCTTTTCTGGTTTCTCAACTACTCAATGGATGTGCTTTTCGTAATAAGTAAACTATATTCTAAAATCAACTTCTCAACACCAGAGTTTGACCGTGAATGTGATAACGTTGTATCAAGTTATTGATAAAGCTGTTGTTAAGGTTATTCTTTAAACTGAGCAATTCGACATTTATAGCAAGCCTGGTGATTATAGTTTGGACTAGAGTTTCCTGTGACGTTAGAGGGTAGGAGTGACTGACAGCTAGCTCGTGGGGGAGCAATGGTGCTCATGTCATGGATCTTGTCACCAGGTGTTGCCTGGGTGGGCATCAGGGTACTGACAAGTCAAGCTGAGGACAAAGAAGACTCACCACAGCCATCAGGTTTGTCATACAGGCTCCGAAGTAGGCAGTGAACAGAGCTACGGAAAGAGGAGAGGACACTAATTGGTAGATGTACTTTTCATCAGCATCCCAGACTGTATATATTCGTCTGCATTCTACCAGCCAGCCCATCCCAGTTCCCTAGTTATAAATGTGGCTCTAGACTCAGATGTTCTGAGTTCAGATCCCAGCAGAACTCATTGGCCTCATCTCTACGCTCCGTCTCCTTGGCTGTACAGAAGTAATGAGAGCAGCTCTTTCACAGGGCCGGGTGAGCATGGAGGAAATAACATATTCAGCACACAGTAACTCCTCAATAAAAGTCTTGTGGTACAGGTTTTTTTCATTGTAGTAGCAATGCTTTAGGGAAAGGCTTTCCATGGCAAATAAACTGCCATGCTATTTTCAGTAACCATGACTGAATTTAGCGGAGACAGCCTGGGTTCTCCACAATCTTGCTCTGTCTAGAAAGGTAACAAGTTGCTTGATGCTTGGCAGAAGCAGAACACAGCCCTGAGACCTCCCTCATGCAATGCCTTTTCATATGCTAAAGGTGGCCATACGGATTAACTAACAAGCATCTGACATTTTTATTTACTTTGAGAAAAAAAAAAACCACTGCAAAGGGCATGTCCACACATGTGTCTTTCACATGCAAAGCAAGAGGAACAAAGGGTTTAACCAGGAACCTATCAATTTCTTTCTTGGCTGAGGAGGACACTGGTGTGGGGAATGAACTCAGGTTTTCCAGGGTCAAACTGAAGAATGACTTTCCTTTGATGTCCACAGAGCCTTCTGGCTACTGTTACACAGTAACCAAATCAATTGATCAATCAATCAATCACCTATCGATCTACGGCAGAAATGATGAGAGCTCTCTGGTTCTCATTCCCTAAACTAAAGACTGTCCTATTTAATCAGCAGTTTGTCCCTGGCACCATGTTCCTTCAATGGTTCAATGAATTCTCCTATGTCCTAGCTTCTCAGGCTAATGAGGGCTCGTCTTCAGAAACAGTTCTGCTTTCAGATCCCAGTTCTTCCTTTTCTTCACTGGACAGTGAAATCTCAAATGCAATTCTACATGCCCTTAGAGCACTGTAAGCCCATCCATCTTGGCGGGGTGCAAGGATCCTACTTTGAGAAGAAGGGTGCTCATGGCTGAGGAGGGAAGACTTCTCCTCTTTTTGTCTATCAATTCTAGTCATCTTCAAGATCTAACTCACCCATTCAACATGTATCCTCTGGTCCTCTGCTCAGCACAAGCTGCATTCTAACCTGCTTTCTCCAGTGCTGTCTCTTTATTTCCTCTGTGCACATCAGAAATTATTGTCTCTTATCTCCTTCAAAGGTGCAATGCACTTCTAAGGCATGCTTCTGGCGTTCGTGGGTTTTGGACTGTTACATGTTTTGGAAGAACCTCGAGGTCAGAGTTACTCTTTTCTCCACAGCGAGAGTGAGATTAATACGTGGCAGACTGCTCATCCATTAATACATGCAGTGCAGGGCTGGGCTGGCTTACACCAGGGAAGCTTCTACCTACTGCACGGTGGTAGTAGTAATACAATTCCCCGACTGCATTACAAAAGGCTCTTAAACCTCAGCAAGAGCCTGGATTTCATGGACAATGTCCCTGTCAGTGTGCTGTCACGGGTGAGTTCTACCGTAGCAACCCAACCATTTACAAGTAGTACAAAATGGGTTTACAGCTTCTTAGCTAACATAGCAAACAAGGCTAGTGCGTGGCTGCCCGGCTCCAGATCTACAGGTAAGGAGGGCAGCCCTGACAGATGCCATCACAGGTTCTTAAGTCCTCTTCCTGATAGAGACACACGGAATGAAGAAGGAGCAGCTCTGTAATCGGTGTCTGCTATTTATTTACCTTGGCAGACAAACCTGGACTTTTATTTGGCCGTGACAGGGCAATGTGGGCAAGCTGAAACCTGCTGTGGCATTTTACACAAAAGGCTTGCTTTGCAAGAGGGGCTGGAGGTCTGCCCCAAGAGTTCATGTGTGGCTATTAAAATGTCTGGTGTGACACAGTGGGGACAGACTCAATACTCTCATACTGTCATCCTTGGAAGGACCCTTCTAAAGCTCTCTGGGAATGAATTCCACATCTATGGACATCAGACTTGCCATTCCCTTTGCATCATCAACTTTGCTTTCAGAAATATGTTACAGAAATATTAGTATAATGTACATTTGGCAAGTTATACCAAGTGCATTCAATGGAGCAGTATCTTTAAGGGCTCCAAACTAGAAGCCATGTAACTACCTTTCAGCATGACAAGCTTGCTGTGTTGAAAGGATCCATACTACCTCAACCAGCAGAGGCCACTCATCCTGAGAGGTAAAGCCATGGTCTTCTGAGAAAGGCCCTGGCTTCCAATCCCCATTGAGAGTTGTCACCCAAACAGCTCGAATCCCATGGAAAATAAGCTCTCAGACAAGGAAAGGGGACATCCAAGGAAAGGGGACATCCAAGAAAAGGGGACATCCAAGGAAAGGGGACATCCAAGGAAAGGGGACACCCAAGGAAAGCAAATGCAAGGGAAGACAGATACAAATGGAGCAAACACTGCGGGTGAAGCTTAAAGCCAGAAGCAAAACCACAACGGATGACAGGATTGAGCATAAGGAAGAGAGCCAAAAGATGGAAGTTCTTATGATGGGACATCAAGGAGAAACTGTTAAGAAAAAAGTCCCCAGCGATGGGAAAGCTCACATAGAACTAACCCACAGGAAAGGAACATTTGCAGAAGACCATTGAAAAACTAAAAGCAGGCAACATCCCAGAATTACAGAAAGAAAGGGGAGATCACACTGAAGGATTCGACGGGGAACACTCGCATCTAGACAGGCAACAGGAAAATAACCCATACGCAAAGATGAAACTCTAAATGCCCAGAGAGAAAAAGAGAATGACCTTTTTTTTTTTTTTCTTAAAACAAGAATGAGGTTCTTTTTAGACGTCTTAATGGTGGTTTGGGATGAAAAAGTTCATCTTTAAGGACAATTTTCAAAATGTTAGGAGTGGAAAAAAAATCCTTAAATCCAGTTTTGTTTTCAGAATGCTTCACTAAGACATAAATCAGGGAGGGAGGAAGCTGTTCTCAGGCACACAGTGCCTTAGAGATTTCCCCCAGCAAAACCACCTCTGAAGAAACACTATGACAGGGTGGAGTGAGCTGCAGGGCAGGGGTGCATACAAGTCACTAAAGGCGGCAGTTACTAAACAAAGAAGTGTGAAAGTGCCCATTTACAGGAATCCAAAGTGAAAATTCTTTATAACAGCAAATTGGTTTCGATGGTAGTTGGGGGCGGGGCCTCCCAGTGGAGGCCGAATTGGGCCAAGGTATCTGCCGATCATACTCAGAAAGAAGAGGAAGGTATGGATAAGGTTAAGACACTGAGAGGGAGTAGTAAGCAAGGTTAATTCTTAATACTTTATTCCAAGCCACCAGAAAAAAAAAACAGTTTTTCATATCCTCAAATACTGCAAGCAAGTCTGGATAGCATGTATGTTTCACGTGATTTATGTACACACTGTTTAATCTTAGACAAATCTATGAGGCACTGAAACCCCTTTAAATGGGGAAACCTAGGCTCAGAAGGGTTCAGAATCAAGTTCCAGGTAGTCTGGCAACAGGGGGAGGGTTGGATTTTTGTTGGTTTTGTTTTGTTTTCTTGAGTCAGGATCTTACTTTGCAGCTATGATCCTTGAACTTATGATCCTGCTGGCTCACCTTCCGAAGTTACATCTAAGGTAAAGTTAGCATGCCAGGCTGAAAATGGCTCCTTATTGGGGTCTACATCCTGATCTCCAGAGTCCGTGATTATGAAAAGGGACTTAGAACTATGGTTAGGTTAAAGACTCTAAACAGAACGGTTATCAGGGAGGAAGTGAGTAGCTCCTATGTCATCAAGAGGCTGCATGGATGGAGGTTACAAACTTGCCCGAGGCAGGAGGACGGAGTACTTCCCCTCTACCTCCTACCTGTGTGTACTTTATACGGAGTGGACAATGAAACTATACTATTACTACAAATAAAATAGCAGCGAAAGATTCCCCATTGGGGAAAACATTTGCAAAAGTCTTAGGTGCCATCCTTTCACTAGCCTGCCAGAACCAAATCCACTTTTCATGGAATCAGAATGCTTCCTGCCGGACTCAGGCTGTCCTCATGGCCACCAGCACCACCTTTTCCATCAAATGGACTCCTCTCCTGTGCTAAGGCTCACAGAAAAGCCACCTTCCCCAGGCAGCACTTCCTGATAACTCTATAGTTGCCCCACCAGATCCTATACTACAGATTACTTCTGGTACAAACATGGAAAGTCCCACTCAGGATCCCTCTTAAATCACCTGGTTCCTACTTCTCACTCCGGTGCTGTATGCTCAGAATTACAGGGGACCCAACCCTTCTAACCCTTTGTCTTTCTAGGATATCCAGGGTGCATCATGAATATCTAAATACATTTAATGCATTTTCGGTTATTGCAAACACAGAAACATAAAGTATAGACTCTCAATAAACAAGTGAAGATAATCTCAGAATGAAGGTGGGGCCCTGGAGGATGAGAACTCTTGCCCCAGGCGAGCTTCAGAATCTGCCCCACAGCCCTGCCTGCTTTGCCCTGAACTTGGGAGCAGATAGAGAGTAACAAATACTGACAGAGCTCAGCTGAGTCCCTACAGACACCATGACAAAAATGACATCTAATCACATTCAGCAGCTTGAGATCTGCTAACCTCACCATGGCATAAGCCCAATCTGAACCCTGAGAACCCTGGTCTCAGCTCGCCTCCTCCACTCCAGATCCTGCCCAGCTCTCGGTCTACCAGTTGGCAACTAGTTAGATAGCTGAGGTTGAGCAGCCTGGTGATAAAATGACTTTAGATATATATTACATCAGGCTAGGAATAATTCTTCTACAGTTGATGGTCCCTTTACCTTTTTGTCCCCAAGGGGACTCCTTATGTGACTGCCTGTTCCTCATCAGCAGCTCAGAGAACCCACCAGCTTTTCAAGTCCAAAGCTCTTGAGGCTGACCTTATATTAAGGAGCCACCATAGGGTTGGAAAGCTGCAGCCAGGAAGCAGCCCAGGATACAGATATGGCGTCTAGGTTTGGATTTAGTCCTCTGGGACTTGATGCACTTCAGCACTTCCTTAACCCAAGTTTAAGGAGAAGCATGAGTTTGAGGGTGCTAGGGTCTAGTCTAGCTCTGCAGGCAGGATCTACTAGGGATCATGAAGGGTTAACAAATTAGTTCTCAGCTTGTGGTCTCCAGGCCTCCCTGTCAGAGATGCAAGTTTTTCCCTCTAAGCCTGCATCAGAGTCTGTGTCTTCACCAGCATTCTTGGTAGTTCGGTTACATTCTCAGGTCAGGTCAAGCAACATAGTTTTATATTTATTTTTAGTTTTTTTGTGCTGAAAAGCACACACACACACACACACACACACACACACACACACACACACAGAGTTCAGGTCATGGATCTATTCCTCCAAATATATTCAAATAGAATGGCTATTGGGACTCCAGTCTCTTCCTTTATAATAACCAGTGTAGTAGGCAAAGTTGACCTTAATTCTCCCGGAGGAGGAATATCACTTGCTCTGCTCACACAGTTAGCTAGTGGTAAACTCAAACTATAATCTCAGTTTGAAGTTCTCACGTGATCCTTCTACAGCCTTTACGTGATTATTTACCGCTTGCCTGTGACTTTGATGGAGTCCCCATGGCCGCCCCTCTTCAACACCATATGTGGGATACTCACCACAGGCAAGAGCCAGGAGGTGGGTCTGCCAGGTGAGCGCCATGAACATCCCACCAACTGCAATGCAGGCCAGAGAACTGTTGAAACCCCAGAGCCCAGAGTAGATGTCTTCAAACGGAGCTGCAAGACTGAGCCCTGTTACGCAAAAACAAGAGCGGTCAGAGCCGGGACAATGAGCAGGATGCTGTGTGATGAGTTGTGGGGTCAGGGGAGACACCTCGAGAGTTCCAGTTGCTCAGGACTCTCCAGAAAGCTCTGTCGTATAGAGGATGCCTGGGACATGCGTGGTGTGGAGAAGACGCTTGTATTAGGTCGAAAGTCTTGTGCTCACCTGCGATGACACCCAGCAGTGATCCAATAGCAGCGTGCAGGCACATGAGTGGGGAGGAAAGCAGGATGGCACATAGGAAAATGCCCCCTGTCCACGGGTTGTCACAGCCATATATCTGACCAACTCCTGTGGGAAGGGACTTCAGCAGCTGCAACAGAAAGTAGACAATTGTAGCCACGCAAACAACGGGCAAGAAGCCCACTGGGACCTTATACAATGTGAATTATAGATGTACACATATGGATTTCAGAATTTTTAGAATTAGCATATCTTATCCTTCAAGATCAGTCCCAGTATTTCATTAATACAGGTGCATGCCCGGCAAGGCTCCTGCAAGCCTCCTGTGCTCACTAACTTCCACACTAGCTCTGATACTTGGCCACTGTGAGCTTCCCGTGTGGTCTCACTACTCCTGCCTCTGAGGACCTACAGATCTTCTCTAGTGTGGCAGGGACACCGGTCATGCCTCAGTTGCTTCCTGACGTCCGTCAGTGCTGGCAACCAACCAACGCCCTTCCACAGGCTGTAGAAACGCTATCGCAACTGAGTTGGCTGCCCAGACTAAAAGGCCAGTGAACTGCAGGAGATTATCTCATCCACAATTTAGGAGCAATTATAGCCAAATTTATGAATGAAAAATCACATTGGCATTTCTGATACTAAGAGGAACATGTACCATTTAGTAAACATATCTTTAACTTAACTTAGGTATTAATGCTTGTCAATCAAATCTCAAAACATAACTCTAAAAACAAACAAACAAACAAACATAAACCCAGCAGTGCCTCTTTTGTTTTATTTGACTTCAAGTAACTTATTTTCAGAAACATTAAGGAGGGACTGAGATGCAGCCCAGTGGTAGAGTATTTGCCTGTCTTGCATGAAATTCTATTGCAATCTGTAGATACATGCATGCACGCATGCATGCATACACGCACGTTAGGAAGAGGTGGAATTCAATTTGGGAGATGCAGGCTTTTGAAAGCACACACTCTCTCTCTGTGGCTATCTGTAAGGAGATGCAACATATCTATACCCTGAGACTCAGTGGATCTCACCGTCTGTCCTCCAATACAGTTTGGAGGAGTTTGTTGATACAGGTTCCTGGACTCCCCATACCTTGAGAACCCTGAGCTACTGTTTGTATTCTGTGAGGAGGCAGAACAGCAGGTTCTACATAGCCCAAAGAGTCTAACATTCTGTTCTGACTGGGGGATGCAGATCACAAAAGCTTTAACCCCAAGGGAGAGACCTCCAACCTCGAGGGTGGTCTCACCCACCCAAACAAGGGCTGAGCTTCTCAATACATTCGATTTCCAATGAGCTGTCTTCTGAAACTGTCATTGCAGAGTTTTGGGGGGCGGGGGGGATGGGGCAGGGGTGGAGAGTAGTTGATGTTTTACCTCAAGGGCATTGAGCTCAGACCACGTGATGTTGGGCACGGAGCTGACAGGTGTGAAGAGTTTACTTGGAAAAAACGCATTGTAGTGTCCTGTGGCTGAAAGGTACAGCGACAAAGCCATGTTGAAAGGGAGAGTGAAGACGGGCAGGTCCCACTTGCTGAGCAGTGAGCTCAATGCGCTCGAAAAAATTGGGCTAAAGGAACAGAAATCCCAGAATGAGAATCCATGACTAGCAGCCAGACTGAGCATCATCCCCACCTGGCCTCTCCACGGGGTAGGGGTGTGTGTCCTGTTGTGGTTGCTAACACACTCTGAAACTGTGCTGGGAAATCTTCCATGGGGTGGAAGGTTGGGGAGTCTGTGCTTGATCCCATCACAGAAACAACTCTAAGACACACTGCAAAATCAACTCTTGATTTTTAAAAAACAAAACCAAACAAAGCAAAACAAATAAACAAAACTCCAACCACATACACACACACCAAAATACCTTGGCTCAAAGAGAGTTATACTCAAGGCTTTAAAACCATTTTTAGGAGGCTAGAGAGATGGCTTAGTGGTTAAGAGCACTGGCTGCTCTTCCAGAGGTCCTGAGTTCAATTCCCAGCAACCACATGGTGGCTCTCAACCATCTGTAATGGGATCCGATGCCCTCTTCTGGTGTGTGTCTGAAGACAGCTACAGTGTACTCACATAAAATAAAATAAATAAATAAATCTTTAAAAAAACCCCACATGTTCGGAGCTCTTAATAATGTGAAATCTTATCTATGGAGTTAGTGCCTTGGATCCTGACACACACACACACACACACACACACACACACACACACACACACACATATATATATATGTTTTTGGAGAAGAAAAGAACTTAAGACTTAGTTGGTGCGGGCTGGGAATAAAGGGTCTTACAAAGTGTCTGTCTTTGAGCCTTTGCTTGCAACTTCAGACACAACCACTTTCTCTTTCTGAGGTGTGCAAACTTAGGCTTGCTTTGGACGGTGTAGATGGTTCCCTGGACCCTTGGGTCACTCTCAGTTGTTGACCCAATGGAGAAGCATCATTGTAAGATCAGAACAGATCCCTAGTTGGGAGAGTGTGGATCACCCAATGGCCATGGATCCTGTCCCAATCAGAGCAGTTCCCATCCTCCTGGGAATGGCTGGCGGCCCCCATGGGAGCAACAAAGGTGGAGGTCTCCTGTGGGCAGGGCCCACATTGGGCTCCTTAAGTTCCTCTGAGGGCATCTTAGTACTTTATACTTTAAATATGATACGGAAAGACAAATTTGTTTCTAGAGAAAGGAATTAAGGTGATGTTAGCATAGAAACTAGTTTTAAAGGTCCAGGTTTGGTTAAGGGGGTGGGGAGATCACAGCTCTGTTGAGATGAGTCCACTGATGGGGGTGGGTACCTTCGGCTATACTTTCGAATCACCTCAGGAGACTTAAATCCCTCAACATTTTGGCAACATCCCAGAGCAGCTGTGTGTGCTAACTGTGCAGCTGAGGTTGTGAGTGCCCGAGTGAAGGGGCCATGCGGCAGACTCTTACAGTGGTTGCTTTAGTTTCTATAACCAAAGGTAGAGCCTAGTTCTAATTTAAATATATTTTTTAAAATCTGTGGTTCAAAAACACAGAACATAAAAATTAGCATTATGTTGTTTTGCCTCTCTAGACAGATTAGCCTGGGACTCCCCAGGCTGACCTTATGCCTACAGCCCTCCTCTTCCCTTAGCCTCCAAACGAAGGGATTGTATGTACACGCCGCCATAGCTGGGCCCCTTCAACCATTTTCATTTTATTTTACATTCAACCTGTGTTTGTGTGGGTGAGGATACGTGTGTGGAGGGGCATTCGTGGAGGTGAGAGGAAGACTCCGGAGTCAGTTCTCTCCCATCATGTGGATTTCAGGGATCAAACTCAGGTTGCTATCCTTGGCTACAAGTGTCTTTAGTTGCTAAGCCAACTTGCTGGCCCCATTTAGCTCTTCTAAAGTGTAAAGTTCAAGGACACGCTCACAGTGTTAGACCACCGCCACTGACTGACAGAATAGTTTTCATCTTATGAGAGTGTGCTCATTAGACGTTGAGTCCTCCTTCCCTCTACCCACCACGGGTATTTTGAAAAACCTAGTAGAACTTACCAAGTCATAGACATAGCAGAAACAGGGAATATCAGCCACCAGAAATAGTCACCCTTGTCGGAGAAGACAGCCATGAGTATTCCTACCAAAGTGGCATTGTAACCCTGGAGCCCGGCTGCTATTGCTGATCTGTAGGCAGGAGGGACAGCACAAACATCACCTGGGTGAGCTTACTTAGGAACGAATGTAAGCAGTAGCTGTAACTTCTACATAACATCCACTTTAAAGAACCACCATAGCTGGGCATGTGTTTCAAAGCCTTTTAGGAATCATGCGGACACAACTAAATTGCACAGTGAAATCTACATAGATAAAACTCTGAAGTGTGTACTTGGAATGGCTCCCTCCAAGCTATGTCACAAGCCACAGGAAGGGGAGCATCTGGTGAGGGAGGGAGGCCTGAGTGAGACAATCTGCTCTTCCTTCAGCCTTTCCTAAGAAAATTCTTATGTCTTTAAAATCATTAAGGACCTTGCTGTGAACAGGGCTTTCAGCAATTGAAGCAGTCTTAAGTGATTTCTCAGTGAGACACAATTCCTGGAAGGCAAATCCTTTCATGGTGTCTTTAGGAACATCCAACTTCAACTTAGTGTGCATTTCTGATTCTATTCTGTTGTCTCTAATGCATCTCCAGGTTATTGCAGAGGAAAATGGTTACTTTTCTTTTTGGTCAAGCACCTATTTAATGTGTGCTCTTAGTGCCTCTTGTTAAAACCCTTTTTATAATGGTAAAGTATTCAGTCTGTTTCCTTGGTTGGGTTAGTCAGAAGAACCCTGCCTAAGGAACTCCCTCTGTGCTTGGTTTTAACCTCACTTCCAAAGACTATCTTCTATGTCAGCTTCTAATGGACTCTGTCAGGAACTATAGGGGGAACTAGAAGCCCGAGAGAGCAAGGAGGATATTTCTGTAGAATAAGCCTTAGTCTGGCAAGCTTCCCATTTTCAGACCCTGAGAGCTGGCGGTGTATGGCACCATGAAGGACAGCAGGGTTCACTTCCAGCCTGATTCTCACAGGTCATGACCATAGGGACCAGTGAGGTCAAGATGGTGAAGTGGGCTGGTTAGGTCAGATGGGCCTGAGGGGCGGGGCTGCAGCCAGTGAGCACACTGCAGCTGGTATGAGAGGTTTTGGCTTTTTATCTGACTCAGCTCCAAGGCACAGGTGCAACCAATAAGCTGCTGTCATATTTAGTCCCTGGGCTGAGGACAACAGAGATTGGACACTAATTTCAAAGCCCTTTGTCTTTCTTCAGTAAACGTCCAGAAGTCGAAGTTACACGTGACAACAGTGGAGAGCTCTGTAGACAGGTCCGCCCGTAGTGTTTGTCCGTGGGTAAAGGACAGCTATAAGTCAAGAGATGTCTTAGTTCTAGCCCCAGGAAGAATTGGTCACTTGAATGGAATTACCACTTCAATTTTTTTTTTTTTTTTTTTAGAACCAAGAAAAGTAAAAGGAACTTGAGAAGTAACACATATAAATATAAAAAAGTAGGACTGTCTTCATACTAATTACCAAGGAAATGCAGGTGCCCCTGTCAACACCAGGAATGAAATGCAGGCCCTGGAACATGCTAGACAAATGCTCTACCACTGAACGGCGAGCCTAGCCAGCAGTCACTTCTCTGCAGCAAACACACAGAGAGACTAATCCTAGGCTGTGAGTCTCCTCTTCAGCCTAGGAGCTGAGCTGGCTCTGCATTGACTGTGGAAGGAGATAAACATGCTAAACTAACGGTGATCACAAGATCTAAAGGGGCTTGCTAAGCCCCTACATCTTTTCAAGAACTCAGAGGCATTTTGCTTAAAGCTGTAATAAATAATTGAATCACGAAAGGAGCCTTCAGTGGGTTCTCTCCTGGTGATGGATGAGCTCTGGCTACTGTACACATTGGCTAGCACTCAGACTGCCTCCTTATTCAGATGAGGAGAATAGGAGACTACCAGTGATTCCCTGGCCTCTGACTAAAGGCAAACAGAGCGTTCTGTGTAATAAAGGTTGTTTTCCCCGGGAGGGTGTGGTTTTCTCATTGCTGCCCAGGGCAGCTGCCCAGCTAGTGTCTCAGAGAAGGGGCTGGCATAGGAGGGCTTGCCTACCTGTCTTGGCTGAGCAAGAGGGCTGTCAGAGTGGAGACCACAGTTCCTACACAGCCACAGAGAGCCCACCAGGGGTTCTGGACCAGAAGTCCCACCAGAATCAGGATTCCACTGATGGGGTTGCTGACAAACACCACCTGTGATATGCCACGAAGTATCCAGTCCATGAACTGGAGCACCACAGGCTTGTCTGGAGAGACAAGGGGAGCAGAGTTAAGGAAGAGACAAAATAACACCAAGTTCTACCCTGCACAAAGTCATCAGGATTGTTCAGAGGTGAAACTCTGGGATATTTTGTGAAGCTTCCCTTTGACCCCTTAGTTTGTTTAGTCAGTCCGCACATCCCCTCCTGGGATCCATGCACCTGTTTACCAGGCTCAGAGGTACAAACTAAGCCAAAGGAATGAATTATTGGCAGTCGAACTTTCTTTGTTAAGTAACCATTTCTAATGAATAGGGCCCTGCCCTCTGCCCCCTACTTCAGTGAAAAAGGTATGAAGAGGCTTGTAAGTTAGAAGATGCCAAAGAGAAAACCCAAAAGGGATGGCTACGAGACAGGGAGAAGCACAGGCAAAGGATGTCCTCAGAGCTGCTTCCCTGTCTCCCCAAGGAATGGATGCTTACTCACTTACCTTTAAGCCAGTTGGCGAACTCCTTCATATCACCTGTGACATAGCCAAATACTTGGAGGCCACGCCTTCTTCCCTGGCATGATAACATCTGGTTTTCCCCACGATCTACTTTAACCATCGTGGGACTGTCTTCCATGTCTACCTCTTCCTCTGGCTCCTTGAAGGAAGGAGAGGGTTAGTAAACATCCTGAACTGGAAAGAACTCTTGGCTGTAGTCGCCACAGCAGGTGAGTGTGGAAGCATCCACCTACAGCAGTGGTTCTTAGTTTTCCTAGCGCTGTGACCCTTTGCTACAGCTCCTCATGTGTTGACCCCCCCAACCATAAAATTATTTTGTTGCTACTTCATAACTGTAAATCTGTTAATATCTGTGTTTTCTAATGGTCTTAGGTGACCCCTGTAAAAGGGTCATTGACCTTTCAAGGGGTCCTGACTCATGGCTGAGAACCACTGGAGAAAGCTCTGACAGTGTCATGGGTCTGAGAATGTACTCTTTCTTCCTGGAGTACCATTGAGGAATTCATTATCCAAACCCAAACTCCACACGACCTTCGTCCTCACTGTCTTTAATGCTACCATGAGAAGGTTCTTGTTGGTACCCTCATACAGCTTGCCTTCTAGCTTAACAAATACTTGTTGAGTCCCCATTCCCTGCACTCAAGAAACATAGTGCTGTTGAAAAGAAAGAAGAGCAAAGTCAACAGAAAAAGTCAAATAATAAAGAGCTAAAATAAGCAACCTTAACATTTGTAGTTTTCTTTCTCTTTTTTCTTTCTCTTTTCTTTTCTTCTCTTTTCTCTTCCTTTCTCTCCCTCCCTCCCTCCCTCTCTTTCTTTCTTTCTTTCTTTCTTTCTTTCTTTCTTTCTTTCTTTCTTTCTTTCTTTCTTTCTTTCTTTCTTAACAAAATAGCAGTTATAAGCAGGCATGGTAGCACATCCCTGTAGTCCCAGGAGGCAGGAGGATCCGAAGTTTAAGGCCAGACTCAGCAACATAATGGTTCAAACACAGCCTGGGTTACATGAGATCTCTGTCCTAGAAAAGCAAACTGCTAATAAAAAAAAAATCCATACTACTGAATTTATTTAAGAATTCTTCGAAAAAGAAGAAATTGTTAAAATAGACTGTGTGTGTTGAGACAGCCTAAGAACCCTCTGACCCGAGTCTCCAAGAATAAGACCACTTGAATTCATTCTTACATCATTCAGTTGGCTCAGTCTACAATTTGGAATCTGTTGTAAACGTATAAAACAGGCAAGAAACATACCAACAGAGATGTAGAGCAGTGGTTTTCAACCTGTGTTTAGCCATCTCTTGGAGGGTCAAATGACCCTTTCACAGGGGTCACCTAAGACCACCGGAAAACACAGACATTTACATTACAATTCATAACAGTATCAACATTACAGTCATGTAGTAGTAATGAAAATAATTCTATGGTTGGGGTCACCACAGCATGAGAAACTACATTAAAGGGTCACAACATCAGGAAGGTTGAGAACCACTGGTGTAGAAACTGAGACAGGTAGAAATGGACAATGCTGTCAAAAGCCAAAGACTATGATGTGTACTGCACGGTATAAGGATGCACAAGGTTTAATTATAGTCAATACAAATGCAAATACAAAAACCATAATACATGTTGACTACAGGGCTGGCTAATTCTTATGTTAGGTATGTAACAGGAGCAAATTAATATCATTGAATTTGGTACCCTGTGACATAACGTGAAGGCTTCATGGTGTCAACCACAGATGTAAGGGCTACCAATGACACACTCCTAGAGTCAGACACTTGGAGAAGGACAACAGCCAAGCCACCCAGGATGTAGGAAAAGGCACAGAATACAGACAGGTAAGAAGGAAGCAGGGCAGCTCCATCATCAGCCTTTGAAGGCTTCAGTGGGAAACATGTAGAAGCCACAGCCACAAAAGGCAAGACCAAGGAGATGCCCAGAGCTGCACACATAAGCCAGCTCATCTCTCCTCACTGCAAGGCCACCGACAGAGTTCCTCCAGTGTTCAGTGTTTACTACATCCAAGAGCTAGCTAGCAACAGCCCTGCCTGTCCTGAAACTTACTTTGTAGCTCAGGCTGGCCTTGAACTCACAGACATTCCACCTGCCTATGCCTCCTGAGTCCTGGAATTAAAGGGGTGTGCCCCTCACCGCTCGGTTTAAAATTATGTCTTTCAAAAACACTGGATTCTAGTTTTTGACTTATGTTAACGCCAGTACAGAAATCAATGTTTTATCACCGACTTACTACTATATAACAATTTTAGTTTTCACTATAGCTTAGGCTGGCCTTGAACTTGCTGTTTCTCCTGCCTCTGCCACCCGAGTGCTGGGATTATGGGTATGTACAGCCACGCCTGTCTATCTTCCTGTTTTTTAAACAATGGCACACCATTAATCATCCTACGAAGTTGGAGCTATTTCTACAAGGCATTCCACACCAAGGTCATTCTGTCCTGGCAACGTTCTATCTGGCATTTGTGAGTCTATCAGTGAATCTTTTGTATTGGAAATTTTTGACACTGAAAACTCCAGGAGACACAGAAACCTGAGCCAAGTTCATAGAACACAGTTCGCTCTTCTCTGTTCTTAAAAATCCACAGGTCTGTTTAAGTAACGCAGCACTTATGAAAAATTTATTTCCATTTCATAAAATACATATAAATAAATAAGAATAAAACTTTTCTTTTATCTAAGCAGTAGCTACTGTTTCTTTCAGACCACTCTCTCTTTAGAACTCGTCACTGAAAACATGTCTGGTTAACCCCTGTCTTGGTGACAGTGACCCTTTCTCAAAGCCATACCAAGTTACAAGAGGCATCAGCTTTGAGTCTAGGACATGACAAGGAGAAGCTCCAAGGACAGGTGTCCCAAGTCGCCGTAACTGAACCTATTGACCCCTGAAAGTGGCAATTTCCACCTGCCACAGAAATCAACTCCAGAATACACAAGTGCATGCTCTCAAAACTTCCAGCCTGTATTTATTTATTTTCGAGAGTTTCGAATACCACATCGCCCCAGAGATTCGAAACCTGATAGTATAACTGGCCAGACATGACTGGGAACCTGAATGGCCTGTGTCCCCATGGAGTCACCCCAAGTTAAGACTAAACGATTTTTGTCCAATCTACATCCGTGTCTCCAACATTCCTGTGTTGGGATGTACTACATGGCTGTTATATAGTTTCCCACTACCCCACACCTCAGAGAGTGGCACCCCCTGACTGAGCAGACAGGGCTATGTCCCTGAGTCCTCAGGAGCCATTATTTCTGAGCTGCTGATCTTCCTGTATGTCCTGCGATCACTGACCCTGTTCCAGAACTCCAGCCTGAGAACTGGTTAGGAGAAATCAGTAGTTTAAATCTAGTTCACTCTAGAATGTTATCATGCTAGGTAGTCTGTGTCTCTGTTTGGAACTTGGATGCAGCGCCCAGGAGAGGATCCTTCTAGCTGATGCTCATACTCTGCTGAAAAGACCATGGAACAGAGAGGGCAGCAGCAGAAGAGTTTTCATCTAAGAGAAGCAGGAGAACTGTAAAGCTCCTGACTTGTGCTTCTTTGTTTTATTTCTAAGATTTGGCAACTGCCCTAGCTCAGTAGTGCAGTCTCTAAGCCTACGGGAGTAGTTCAGGCCACAGCACTATTCTCAGTAGAGTTGGCTGACCACCCATGCCCAAGCCTCTCCTCCAAAAAGACACCAAGCTGGGAGCAGTCTCTCAGGTTCCCCAAGGAACAAGCTGCTGGAAGGGAGCCTACCTGTTCTTGCCACCTGTGTGCCAGGACCAAGCTTAGCCGTCTGAAGCCTCCTGGTGCTGCCTTACCGCCTCTATTTCCAAAAGGATCTATCCAAAGAGGACCGTGATGGGCGTCATCAGTGCCACCAATCAAAGACTGTCCATTCATCTTCCCGAGATGTGAGTCAGCAGGTGTCCTGGCTCTGGGGAGCACAGGAAAAGCCAGACTGGGGGAGAGGGACAGGCCCTCTCTCAGTTTCTGCTAAGGGACGATGCTCTCTGTCCTGAGCCCCTAGAGCAGCTTGCAGTGGGAGGGAGGAAGGAGGATGCTGACTATGAGATGAAACTCATTTTACATTACTCAAGAAATAGTGACAGCCCGTGCTGAACAGAGGACAAACGAGAGTGGGTCTCACGCTCTATGTTTGACTGGCAGGAGGGCGGCCCATCTGAGTCCTGCTGCAGAGAGGGACGGTGGCTTCAGGCTCTGAAGCACTTGGGCAAGCTGTTGTACTCTGTGCCGGGGACCAGCTCTGAGGCAAACAGTGTCTCAGCCTTGTTTCTTATGAAACAGGAGAAAAAGGAGCCCCTGGCTTCTGCTTCCTGTGGTCAGATACCAGAGACACTTTCTGTGCACGGCAAAGCTCATTCTGGAATACTGACAAATGCGATTTCTTTTATAATAAGAATTTGATAATTATAGAATACTGAATATCAGTTTGTTAACAAGAAACAATTCTGAGTTAAATCTAATAAGAGTGTCAGATTTTATCCCAGCACTTGGGAGGCAGAGGCAGGCAGATTTCTGAGTTCGAGGCCAGCCTGGTCTACAGAGTGAATTCCAGGACAGCCAGAACTACACAGAGAAACCCTGTCTCAAAAAACTAAAAAAAAAAAAAAAAAAGTGTCAGATTTTAATAATTTCCTTGTTTCCCCCTTTTCCCTCTCATTCTCCTTCCTTCCTCCTCTTCTTTCCTTTTCATTGCATTTGTAAAATAGGTCTTCATTCCAATTTTCAATAGAGCTATTCCAATGGTTCTAGAATGTTCTATGTGTGGGATTTGTCTCTTTCTCTTTATTTTCGCATTTTTCTGCTGACTGGGAGCGAAACCTGAAAACTTTACCAAAGCAACGTGAAGAATACACAGATGTAGAAAATATTTCTGACATACACAAAAGTGTGTGTGTCTGTGTGTGTATACACTCATGGTAAGCTTTCTGGCTAGTTGTAGACCAAACTGATGTTTCTGGTGTTTGCAAAATGAGCAATTTTTGTTGGTCAGAAAGAAGAGCAAGCAGCCCCATGGCAAGGATCTTATACTATGTTAAAGGCAGGGGAGGGGCAAGAAAGGAAGACAAATAAAAGAAAAAAAGATTGAAGGCAAAAGGAAAGGAAAATTTCACTTAACAAAAGGGGAGGGGTCCCGCTCCTCAGGCAAGTTCCTGCTGCTTCACTCTTCTCTGTCTGCTTTCCTCCGCACATACTGCCCACAGAGCCATCACCACAAACTCAGCATCAATATATTTTCAGAGACAGAAATAGACAAATAGGCAAGCAAGGTGGGGGTTGGAGACCACATGGTTGAAACTTTCATGTTATAGAAAACTGAGGCTCTCTGGTGCTTCTGAAGTCTACCAGGTCAGAGGTAGGCAGAGCCAGCTTACACAGGTGCTAAGTCCTGTGCCTCTTTGTCTTCTGGTTTGGGACCAGACAAGTTACTGTCATCCAGAATTTTACCGAAGCGAACAAATGACAGTAGCAGCTTCTGCATGGAAGGTTCTGAAGTGAGTGGCAGGGTGCAGCAGCCTGAATTCACAGTCACCTTGAAGTTAAGTCTGGGCTACGGGGTTGAACAAAAAAGAAAGAGCTCTGTGTCATCTGTGGGATCCGTAACTGTCTGTTAAAAGTAATACCAGCAATTCCTCAAAGCCAGCCTCTCCCAGGAATTACTGATGTGGCTACAAGTTAGCATCTAAGAATATTCTGGAAGCTGTACATGGAAAGCCTCCCAGCAGGAGCTGGGAAGTGTGTTTTAGAGCCCAGATTGCCAGTGAAATGAGGCAGTGCTCAGTATTTCAATTTGAGACAAACCTGAAGGTCTTGCTTTGACTGTTTTCCCTATTCTATTACACACAATGAAACTCACTGTATTGTAGCATGTATTAGTAATAGGCACAATTGGAGAGACCTGAAAGTCCTCAATTTTCCACGCCTCGAGTATCTCTTCGAATAACACTGAGTGTTAGATCTGGGTTCCTTGAAACATTTTCATGTTCTGTCATAATAGAAAGACTTCCTGTGCTGACATTTATTTGCTACTTTGTCTAATCTTTATTTTAGGTCATTTTTGATCACAATGGCAGGAACTGCTCAGTTCTCCTTAGAACTGTTATCAGAAACAAAGAGCTGCTGTCAGGTACTCCTGCCCTCCTGATTAAAACACTTCCCTCCGCTGCAGACACCACTCCTCAGAACCTTGAACGGGGCAGCGACAGAATGCTGCAGGAAGCCACCAAATCTCTGGCTACACTTGTGACTGATCAGAGATCCCAATGGGAACACAAGCATGCTCCCTTCAGCAGGACAGCACATACACACAGGAGCACTAAGCCCATAACTGGGAAGGGTTGTTCCCAGTACCCCACATTTTCTTGTGAGTCATATAAATGCCATTGCTAGCTTTGCTTGGTTTTTCAAGAGCATGTCCTGATGAAACTGTGCTGATTAGTCAGGGCCATTTAGTATAGAGTGGGCACCCAGTGGAAGTCTTCCACACCAGCCCAGGGCAGCTTCCACCCTCTCCAGGAATCATAACAAAGACACTACTTTTAAGCTTCTGGGAAGAGGACTGTGGCTTTGGTAAATATTCTTCTAGTCTACCAGATCTCCAGCTATTCAGTTCCAACAATTAGAGACACACTTCACCATTGAAAAGAGCAGAGTTGGAGGCAGGAAGGCGAGAGTGGACAGAAGGGAAGACTAGCATGATCAAGACATAATCGTGTGTACATGTATACAATGTCGCAGTAAAGTCCATTAACTTGTAACATTAAACATGGTACCAATATAACAATAACCACAGCAATAATAGAAAGTATAGGATCTGGAGTCAGACACATAGAAGTTTCAAATCCCTTTAAAAAGAAAGGAAAGGGAGTAAGATTAGAGGGGAGGAAGGCAGCCCTCAACAAGGACTAATTGGCATTCAACAGAAATGAGGATGGTACTTACTTTCCGGATGGCTTCCCGAGCAGAAGGCAGAACCCGATAAACAGCAGCCAGGCTCTCTTAAAAAGCGCAGTGCTGAGGAGAGGTGGTGCAGAAGAGGCACCTCACCCTTTTATACCCAGTCTGCTCTTCAGGTTTGTGAACCGGCTGGCTTTCTCCACCCACTTAAACCACTGACTCCAGAGCAATGCCGTGGGGGATGGGAGATGGGGGATGGGTGGGGATGGGGGTGGAGGATGGGAGTGGTCCCTGGCATTGGTGCCTCGTGCCTGTGTCTCTACCTTCCTCTCTCCTCTCTTGTCATGGTACCAACCATTTTGTCACGTCTCCACAGCATCTCAGGGTCTTTAACCAAACTCAAATTCACCTTTTCTCTTCTATGCCATTTCCTGCCCTCAATTTGAACTGTTTCTGGAAAGCTTTGTAAGGATCCGCAGAGTGTCATTTAAATGACAAAGTACAGTGGAGTGAAGTGGCTACTCCTGCCATGGAAGTTTCTTGGAGTTGACATTTCTGTCCTGGTGTTAAGCTAGGAAGATCCAAGGGTGGTGGGAGAGGGAGGGAGGGAGGGAGGGAGGGAGAACAAGGGGAATACAAGTTATTTCTGGAAACTAGCTACCTATTGCCCACGCAGGAAAACTAAAACCATACATGCTTCCCTGGTTGCTCCTCTTTCCAGGCAAAAACCCCAGGACGGACTGCACTGCCTTTAAAACGTTAGCAGACAAACGTCCAGAGAAAACTCTGACATGAAAAGTTTCTTCCCCATTATTCGATTTCAGTTTTGTGGCTTGTTTCTTTCTGTTAGAAATATAGTAACGTCGGGGGCACTTCTGTGAATAAAAAATTAGAAAAACCCTCTCTGCTGCCAGAGGTTTTCCCTGCACACCCGCTGATGAGCGGATTCTCCTTATCGGCCCTCCTTCAGGCGGCCTCGGGCTCTGGCTCCACCCACTGGACACTAGCCAGACCACGGAGCTCCTCTGCAGGGGGCCCCAGCAGCGCCTAGGGCTGATCCCAGGAGAGAACCGTTGGGCCCAGGTTCACTAGGAGAACTTTGAGATCCCCACAAATCTCTAGCACCTTTTTTTTTCCTGGTAAAGTAAGTAGAAAACGAACCCTTCTGGGCGTCCTGCAGCTGGTGTGGGAAGGAAACATTCTAGCCTTTTTTGGTGTTCATTATGCACTGGAACCACAATTTCTAATAACAACAATGATAAATGATAGTGATAAGCATGATAAGAATGACCCAAAAGGGTTGAGTTTCCTCTGGTTGCCAGCATTGTGTTAAACACCTGGCAGGTATGAGTCATTTAATCACCTCAAAATCCCTATATGGAGTACCGGGCTGTACACTGGTAGAGTGCTTCCTTTCGTCTATCAGACTCTAAGTCCCAGTACTGCAAAAAACAAGCACCCCCCCATCCCCAAATGAACACCGCTGAACCCCCCACAATACAAAGAAAACAAGCAAACCCTATATGGTGTCATTATTCCTGATTTACAAGTGAGGAAACTAATACTCAGAGCTGAAGTTCACTTGTCTGGTGTCTGGACGTCAGCTGCGTGAGCACTGTCGGCTGTTGCCAGCTCCTGTGTGTTTGCTCATGAGTGAGCCATCAAGGCCCTCAGCACCCATGCAGCCTCTCTTTCTGGCTGTTACCAGGTGGAGTGAGTGGGTCGAGCATGTCTCAGGTCTTTTGGACAGAGTCATTTTCCCCTGCACCATCCCTTCCTCCCTGGCCTCTGCTCCAGACCTGCAAAGCCAGCCACACCTTAAGTGCGGGTCACAAAATGCAGCCCTGACTCAGACAACGCAAAGGATATGTGTAACCAAGGCAACCAAACCGGAGTGTGAATCCTGGTTTTGTCCCTATGTGACCTTAGATGTGCCACCCTTTCAGAACTGTGAAATGGGTGATTTATGTCCTTTAGTGATTGTGGTGAAGGATGATGCCCGTGAAGTCTTGACCCCAGTGGCTGGCGTAACCCTGATCTGTCTTCCCCATCTCTGTTAGCACTGACTGGGCTTCCAGGATCCCTCATAGCTCTCTTGTCTGGCTCTCGATCTCAGACTTGGGTGCAGTTCTGAGAGCAATGTCAAAAACTCTGACGTTGCTGGATGTGGTGGCACATACCTTTAATCCCAGCACTGGGGAAACAGAGGTAGGTGGATATCTGTGACTTT